TCCCTTTCAAAAGCTTGCAAATTATGCATTATTGAAATTAATATGACTTGCTCAATCGACCTTTTCATGAAGATTAAAGAATCTCAATACATGAAAACATAGTAAATATCTCTATAAAATCTATTTTTTACTAAAGAGTTGACGTTTATTTTGATGGTGTTGTGCATGCAGACAGAAGATGGTTGTAAGTTAGGATCAGCTGATGAGATAGCGAAAGCAGTTCATGAGATCTTTGAGCAAATCGACGGTGAAATTTTATGGTCAAATCATAGTCCAATTTAGTTTGACTTTTTGACTCTTTTTTCTTCCTAGTAATGTGTGTGGCTTTAGGTTTACGCAAAAGGGAAGTTTTAAAAAACAAAGAGCCAAAGTTGTGATTTTCTTTTTGGGATTTTTACCTTTTTTAGCTTATTAAAGATTATTGTAGGGAAAAAGGCAAATTCCTCTCTGAATTTACACGGTGCTGTTTATGTATACGTGATCTATTAAGATAGATTAAAACTCCCATAAATTTTATATAATTTTGAATTTCTCCTTTAACCTATTAAAATTTGGTGGATTACAGGTGGTTAACGGAATTCGATTCGGTTTAAAGTTGACCAAAATCAATTGGTTTCTTGACTGGTTTAACACAAAAACAGCATTGTTTTCGCATCTGGAAAAAAAAAAGGATTTACATTGGATCTATTTTGTTCCCCGCGTGGAGTCAAGCTCTGAAGCCGGATCTTCCATATATTGGATCCGACCCGAGATCCGAGAAATCAAAACCAGAAAATATGAGAGTTTACAACGACGACGAACCGATTTCTTACTCGTCGGTTTCACTTGCTCAGTTCAATAGTATACCGGAACCTGATGAAAATGACGACGAAGGAGACGAATTTCTCGGTTTTTTCACCGATTCTGATTCGGTTCCTCAAATCTCCGGTAATATGGAGGTTTGCAATTGGAATCCGCCGTGGTGGAAACCGGAAGGATTGAGACGCACATCGTGGTGATGAAATTGAAAGCTTTTCCATCTCCGTCGTCTGATCTTCGACGCGATTAGAGCGTATAGACCTTCGATAGATCTGGTTACGGTTCTCGATCTGAGCAACGGCGGAGGAAATTTGCAGACGGTTAAACACGCGATGAGATTGGTTATCTCTCTTCTCCGAGAGATGGATCGTCTCTCGATCGTCGTCTTCTCGACGGGATCGAAACGATTAATGTCGTTACGACGAATGACGGCGAAAGGACAGAGATCGGTGCGATGGATCTTCGATTCACTCGTCGGAATTGAAACCGTCGGTGTCTTCGGAATGGCGGTTAACGACGCGTTGAAGAAAACGGTTAAAGTCATTGAAGATCGGCGAGAGAGGAATATAAATCCTTCTTTTTTCCCCAGATGAAAAAAAGACGCCGTTTTTATGTTAAACCAGTCAACAAACCAATTGATTTTGGTCAACTTTAAACCGAATCGAACTCCGTTAGTCACTTGTAATCCACGTCACCATCTGTTAACGGATAACAGATTCCGTCTGCGGTTTGTGTAAATTGACCAAATTTTAATAGGTTACAAGGAAAATTCAAAATTATATAAAATTCATGCAGGTTTTGGCCTATATTAATAGATCACTTATACATAAACAGTACCGCGTAAGTTCACGGGGGAATTGGCTTTTTTCTGATTATTATATGTAATTTTTGAATAGAACTAACTAGCCCATGAATAAATTTAGTTACGTCCCATTCCCATCTCTAAAATGTTAAGAATTAATGGCTTTGGTCGTCCGTATTAAAATGGTTACGGAAAAGGAAAACAAATACATCTTCGCATTTCACATCCTCTTTTTAAGATTTTTTTTCTCTGTAAAAATATTATATATGATCAAATCGTCCATGCGTCTGACAATTCTACAATTGATTAATTATATATCGAGACAACAACTATTATTAGTAAAAAATTTNTATTATTTTGCTTACATCAACGTCTGTATGCTACATCAACGTCTGTAGACTACATAAAGTTCTTAATTATATAATGACACTAGTTTTACTTTTTATCTTTACTTGTGACAGAGAAAATTTAATATTCCAATGCTTAAAAAGCATCGTAAAAGGTAGCAAGTCTATATGGTCATAGCGTCACATTGACACATCCGTCTCACTTGTAAAAACGTAATTTTCAGACTTTTACACATAACTTTTTCAGAAATTTTTTTTCGACTGATCTTATTATAAATATTAAAATTCTGCAATTGGTGAATAATAACTATAAAATATCTTATTATATAAACAACAACAAATGATAAAATATATTGTGTGTAAGTGAACGACAAGATCAGACGTCAGAGATCATCATCTACTGGTAACAACTCTGATTTCTTGTGGTCAAAGTCAAAACCACTAATAATTTATAGATACTTTTTAAAAATAAGTAATATATTTACTCCTTTTTCTTTTTGGGCACAAGACAAAAGGCTCGAGTCCAGTTAAGCTACAAGCATAGGCCCAATTAAGTTCAAATCAGAGTAGCCCAGCTAAGATACAAGCATAGGCCCAGTTAAGCCTAGATTTGAGATTTGCTATAGAAAAATTATTTCTATGATTAATTCATTCGATTGAGGTATATGTTATTTCTATGATTTTTATTCTAGTTTCGAATAATATCAAAGAGTTTGGAAAGTTATTAAATACGTACTTAAATTTTTTTTTTTTAAAATATTAAGTTTTCCCCTACGATATGATGATGTAAAATCATGGTATACGACCATTTACATATCTCTTCTAATTCCACGACGAGTTATAATAGTAATCAAAATTATGGAAGGGTTATACATCAAAAAAGGTATAAAAATAAAATTTCATCAACGTGCAAGCAACTGCCAAACGCGTTGTAGAGGAAAAACCGGGACACCGAAATTCATACAAAAGTCTTTTTTTTTTTATATTCCACATTTTTGTATATTTTAAATACAAAAGTTTTAAAGGCATATAGAACATTTTAAATCTCTGCAACCAATTTTAATGATATATATAGTATTTTCACAGAACGTATATGACTGATTTTTTATCTGCTAGCATTGAAGCAACAATCTTGTGATAGTCTTTTTTTTTTTTTGACGTAATCTTTTGATAATCTGTATCAACTAAACACAATGTCTTGCAAATTTTTATTTTTTTTAATCGAATTCCTTTTTGTGTTAAAAAATATTTTATATCATTAAACAGTCGGTTGGTTAAAATAAATACTTAAATCCACATAAAATATCATTAACTAAAGATTCACAAAGAACGTGCATGGACCAACCAACCATGATATATATTCTCATAGAATTATTATTAATGACGGGTCCCATTATATTTTTATATGTTTTCACCATTGAAGCATAATCTCAAGAATATGCCCTCCAATAAAATTCATTGTACATGGTTTCTTACGTATGACATACTACGTAAACCCCACATAAATCAAAACAGTTTTTTATTCGATAAATTTGATATAATTGATATTAAATCAATGAAAAAGTCTCCAAGATCCGTTTTATTAAATTACTTAAAACACACACAAAAGTAATAAATTAACATCTTATAGCCACATGACTAAAAACAATTTAAAAACAAAAAAAGTGAGACGAGAGAATAAATAACATCGATTGCTTTCTTGCTTCACAAGTAACAAGAAAGAAACCCTAACTTAGAAATCATTAGAAGGAAGTGGCTCATGACCATCACTACCAATAAAGATAGTGTCATAAACAATAGCTGCAATGGCTGCACCAATAAAAGGACCAACCCAATAGACCCAATGATTCGTCCAAGTCCAGCTAACCACTGCCGGACCAAACGAAACCGCCGGGTTCATCGACGCACCATCAAACGCACCACCGACTAAAATATTAGCTCCAACAATTAACCCTATCGCCAAAGGAGCAATGATCCCAATATCACCTTTCTTGGGATCCACGGCAGTCGCGTAAACCGTGTAAACTAACCCAAACGTCATTACAATCTCGAAAACGACTGCATTCCACGGTTCGACTCCGTGAGAAAGCGAAAACGCCGCCGTTTCCATCCCGCCGGTACTTACCTTGAGTAACAAGCAAGCTGCGACCGCTCCTAGTAATTGAGCAATCCAATAAAGAATCGCTCTCAACAACGTTATGTTTCCACCGATAAAAGCTCCAAACGTAACCGCGGGATTCACATGACCGCCTGAAACGTTCGCTCCAACGGAAACCGCAACGAACAACGCAAACGCGTGAGACAAAGAAGCAGCTACTAAACCGGAAGGTGTGGCCGGACCATCTCCGGTTAGTTTCCCATAAGCCATTCCGGATCCTTGACCCGCGAAAACGAATATAACCATCGAGAAAAACTCCGCGAAAGCCGCTCTAATCGCGTCTGGACGACTAGCTTCTCCAGGCGTTCCAATCGCAATTCTGTTAATAGCCATTGTTACAAACAAACAAAAAAATTTGGTTTCTTGCTCTTTTTTTGTTCTCACTCAAGTTTATATAGTTAAAAAGCTTGAGTGACACGTGTGTGATGGAGAATCGTTCAAGAGACTGAGATTAGTGTTTTACGGTGGGCCCTAGGTTTACGGAGATCGAACGGTGATTAAACTAGTCGGTTAAGTACGATTAATTAAAGCTTAATCCGTTTTTTTCGGTGTCTATAAATACGATTATGGATCGCAATTGAAGAACACGCGCTTTACTGTTTTCTTTTACATTCGTCAACTTTCTTTCTCCATACTTTCCGCATCATTGCTCTGTTCTTGAAACGATTCCAAAGGTACGACTTTTTCTTTCTTTTTTTTTGGTTCTTAGATCTTCAAATTTTGATGGTTTTTGATGTTTGATGCTTGAAAACGGAAGATTCATCAATAAATAAACAAATTCGACACAGATCATTAGTTAAATGTTTTTCATTTTGTGGTGTTATATTTTGATTATTCACTTTGGTTATGAAATATATGATCTGTGATTATAAGGGTTTTGTTGAGTTATTAGTACAAGAGTCTGATTTAGATGTTAAATCTTTAGCGTGATCGATCAATAGTTCAAGATTATATCTTGATTTAGACGTAAAGTCATGAAACAGAGTAACAGATTCTAACATTTTGGTTCTTGATTTGCTCTGTTTTTTAGATGAGTGAAGAAGTGAAAGAGAACAATCATCAATCTGAGAAGCTTGTGAGACCTACTCCACGTTTAAACGAAAGGATTCTCTCATCTTTATCTAGAAGATCGGTTGCTGCTCATCCATGGCACGATCTTGAAATCGGTAATTCGCTTGTTAATTAGAGATACCGTGTTACTATTCGATTCCGATTAGAGTCTTTTTTTTTTTTTTTAACTAAGTTAATCTTGTAATGTTTAGGACCTGGAGCTCCAGTGATTTTCAATGTGGTAAGTCTTATGATTGATGTCCGATGCGGTTTTCGCTACCTAGAGAAGGTCAATCATTTGATTATTTGAATGTAAAATTCAGGTTATTGAGATCTCAAAGGGAAGCAAAGTCAAGTATGAACTTGACAAAAAAACAGGACTCATCAAGGTATAAAATATCAAACATTGGAATATACAAATGATCTAATTAAGAAATCAAAATCTCAAAAAATTTGATTTGTCTCTATCTCAGGTTGATCGGATTCTCTACTCCTCGGTTGTGTATCCTCATAACTACGGTTTCATTCCTCGCACATTATGCGAAGACAATGATCCTTTGGATGTATTAGTCATCATGCAGGTTTGAGTCTTAATCACCTAATCTTCACCATAAAAACCAAAACAAAACAAAACAAATAGTTCTTAATGTAACTTTGTTTGTATACAGGAGCCTGTTCTTCCAGGTTGTTTTCTGCGGGCTCGAGCTATTGGACTAATGCCTATGATTGACCAAGTACATCCTAAACCAAAATCTCTTGACTTTTACTTGTTCATTTTGGTTGAAAGTTGTATAACAAATTGTGAGTTTTTGTAATAAAGGGTGAAAAAGATGATAAGATCATTGCGGTTTGTGTTGATGATCCTGAGTATAAGCATTACACTGACATCAAAGAACTACCACCTCATCGTCTCTCTGAAATCCGCCGATTCTTCGAAGATTGTATCCTTTTGAAATCTTCAAGCTTTTTAATTCAAATCATTGCTTTTTTTTTTGTTTGCCTTTAACCATATAATCTAAAACAGACAAGAAGAATGAGAACAAGGAAGTTGCAGTGAATGATTTTCTACCTCATGAACCTGCTTGTGAAGCCATTCAATACTCAATGTAATTTTTCTTCAATTTTTATATTTAAATTTTATTTGAATTTTTTAACAAATCTTGATTTTTGAAATCATTAACAGGGACCTTTATGCTGAGTACATTCTTCACAGCCTGAGGAGATAAACAAAAAAAAGGTTTCTTTCAAGAACATTTTGCTCTGCAATCTGAGATTTTGTTGCAGTGAAGAAACAAGAATTTGGTCTGATATTTGGATTTTGAATAAGCACGTGTC